TCATTTGAACAACTGAAATTAAATGAATGAAATTCGATCGTTTCACATGGGAGGCAGGATTTCGGTTATTTAGAGATTCCTCATTCGGGACCCTACCATCTGAAAACATTTCCGACGGCATGAATAAGAGCATTAACGAGTGATCAGTTCGACTGGGTTAATGCCAGTGATACCATCCGAGCGAATTTCATTGTCGGTCAGAATCCGATCGACATGAAATTCCATCATTGCCACAGTCGAAATCCCGACTGACTATCGGAATTGCTCTGGCGGAATCCGGACGAATTACCATTTTGAACTTCCGAATGTCGGCAGTTCGACCGACCGGCCGCCGGTTGGATGCCATCAGTAATTAGTACTCACCTCATACTGTTTCAAGAAACTGCCTTAACTTAAAAATTCTATCATTTTAAACCAGATTGTCTTCGACAAACACATTGTGCATTTTACACATACACATTTTACTCATTTAAACGCTCTTACACATAGCGGTTGCGTCTTATAGTGAGTTATGTTTATGTTCGCAATGCACATACCACTAACAATATCAATTGAGTACGAACTTTTGGTCCGTAAATTTTTTTGTTTTTTCTGGATATTTAGTACTCCTCGGATTTTTTCGTTGTCATTTCTATAAATTCATTGCCAGTGGTGTGTACCTGGTGGGAAACAAGATTTTCCTGGAATTTTTGACAATTTGAATAGCGTAGCATCGGTCGTTGTGAAGTCGTGAGGCTGTCTTCCTGAAAACTCGCTCAATGAATTTGAAATTTGTCCGGACTCAGCTCCAGCGTTTCTTTGATCATGAAAAAATTAATTTTATGTCTTCAGCATGATCACAAGCATGTCCAGATTATAGTGAACGTTTTCATTGTTGCGCCCTCATTTTACTTATGCGGATTTCAATAACAAGGCAATTCAGAGATCTTAGTTCATAAAAATATTAATAAATCCGTACTTAATGAATTTGTAAGGATTGAATTTGTACTATTGATATGATATAATTAATGATATTGGTGTGTTTGTAGTATTCTCTGATTGGTTCGTGCAGTTTGTTTCGAGTTAAGGCGTCCAGTCACAATTCAGGAAGATGGCAGTTGCTGCCACACGGGTGCTCACCAAACTTTTTACTCGAAATTCAGTAAAACGTATCGTTCGCCTCAATATCAATTCATATGCAACACTAAGGAGGTGCTTGGCGAGTGAGTTTTGATGTTTTGACTTTATGGAAACGATCTGATGACTTTATTTTATGGTATATGCATCGTGAATTTGTGACCATCTCCGTTACAATTTTATAAGTGTGCCCTAATGTACGTTTGAAATACTGAAATTTAATGACTTATTCACTAAAAAATCAAATTGTTTGTCTGTTCCGACCATGTTCAGCATCGTAAACTCGTCATAACTCGATATTCTAGCAGCTGCAAATGCTCCGTCACCGTCTGAGGCAGCAAGTGCCGAAGGAGGAGGTGGTTTACCGTTGGAAAAAGGTGATAAACTGAGTGAACCATCCGAGGAAAGAGCTCCATCAGAGAAGGTGCAGCGATTGGTGGAAGAGATCTGTGGACTGACGTTATTGGATGTAGTTGATTTGAATAAAGCACTCAAGAAACGACTCAACTTACCCGATGCACCCATGATGGCTAACGGTCCTGCATTTGCTGCGGCTATGCAAGCATCAGGTATTATTGGTCATGTGTTTTTTCCGCTTCAAATATTCAGGATCAGATGGAAACGTAACTAAAAATTGAGAAGATGGAAAATATTAGTGAGAATCTTTGGAAGTTGTGCTCTGAAAAAAAGGCAAGGGAAGGTAATTTGTTTGTGATACCTTAAGATGAAATACAACGAAGAGTAGTCCACGCATTTGGTATATGCAGCACTCTTGATGTTATTCACATTTACATGTTTTAATCTTAAGTGAATTGGTCAATGAGAGAAAAATTCAAGCGTTGGTCTCTGAGTTTGACTGCTGTATCCAAAGTATAACAGAAAAATGAAAATGAACTCTCCGAATGCAAATATCTTATGATTTATGATTTCATTTCAACCGATTCAGAAGAGCATTCAATTAAGTGTACACAAATCTTGCCATATCAGTGTCAAAGTTCACGGAGTTAGCGACTAGATATATTGTGTCATAGTTGTCAAGCTTCTATGAGAATCACCCGAGTCTCTTTCAGCTGCAGCATCAGCACAAGCTGGTGGCGCTGCACATG